GTTATGAGGAGAATAAAAACTGGCTCCGATCTTCAATAGCACAGGACAGATTCTCAGATCTTCCTCTACCGCACATAGAGGACGATTTGACTGAAAATTTATCAGAAGAGATAACATTAGAGATAAGATAGTGGTCATCTACACAACTCAGAAAATGAGGTGGCTTTTCTGCATTTTTTTACTCTTTGTACAGCAGTCATTGTTAATTCTAAATGTATTTTTAATATAGAATATGTTACATAAATCTATGAAATGTAGAACATCACTGCCAGTGAGTGCCCTCCCACACATAAAAGTGAAACTCCGCCTAGGCTTTCTCCATTTAAATAGTCGTCTGGTCTGAATCAGGAGAGAAATATGCAGAGATAAAGCACTGATTATGAAAGATAACAGCCTAAAACAGTTCTAAACAAATATGTGGGTGGATTTTAATGTGAAAGACAACAGGAGATGGACTTTTTCCACAGGATGAAGCGTTATTATGGATTATGGACTATTTTAACCAGAAGCAAAAGTTTAAGTTAAAATGCCTTAACGATGGATTTGTTTCTTACAAACACGCAGCTTTTCACTTCACAAGATGTTAACTGATGGACTGGAGTGGTGTGGATTATTATTGTGATGTGTTTATCAGCTGTTTGGACTCTCATTCTGACGGCACCCATTCACTGCAGAGCATCCATTGCTGAGCAAGTGACAGAATGCCACATTTCTCCAAATCTGTTCTGATGAAAAAAGCAAAACAAAACAAAAAAACAAACTCTTGGATGTCCTGAGGGTGAACACATCATTTTTGGGTGAATTATTCCTTTAGGCTAATTTCCAAACAACATCATCTTGACCCAGACTGTTCTGTATGAGATTCACCTTTATATGAAATCCCTGATCATTATTAAAATAAATCTGAAATGCTTTACAGCAGTTTATGATTGTCATAAAATAATGCAGCATGACCCAAAACGTATAAATTAATATGTTCATGTTAATATGCATTGGGGACAAAACCCTGATGATTTGGTTTAGTTTGCTGTAAGTGTCTTGGGTTTAATGACATCATTCTCAAGCACAGCTCGAAACTAGAAGATCTGATTAAAAGTAGATCTGATTAACAGATAATATAATAAATAAAACAGTCAAGACATGAGCTGTTTTGGATTTCAAGAGTGAAGTTCTACGTGCAGCCACTGTTGTTTGTTTTGTTTTTATGACCTTTGGGATGAAGATTAGTGTTTAAATATAAACTGTCATTGTGTTTCACTGAAGCGCAGCCTGTAGAACGCCTCCTTCACCTCTGCTTCTTCAACGGCCGACTCGTCAGCTCCTACTCTCAGAACGGCGCTCTCTGGCACGTCCTCCTTGATCTTCCGCTTGGTCAGAATCACTGGCTCCGTCTCACCTAATTCTGCGTGCTGCCGTCCATCCGGTCCCGTCAGAACGAGGTAACCAGCATGGCGGCCTCGCTCCAACAGTGTCGCTAAACAAATGCAGAGAGATATTTATTTTTCAATAAGCCTGACTTACAACATGTTGCAATTTAAAGGTGCTTGCAGTCGTTTTGCAGACTTTTAACTTAAAGGTACAGTATCAAAAACAGTGTAAAATACAGAGAGAAAATTGTCATGCATAACCATTTTTAATCCAGCAAAACAGCTAAAAAAGAAATACCCTTAAAAGATATGATGTTCTGTGCAGGATTTCTTCTTTCAAGCAGCAGTTGGGAATATCGAGGATGCAGCAGGTATGATTTGGATTTCAAGAGTGAAGTTCTACGTGCAGCCACTGTTGTTTGTTTTGTTTTTATGACCTTTGGGATGAAGATTAGTGTTTAAATATAAACTGTCATTGTGTTTCACTGAAGCGCAGCCTGTAGAAGGCCTCCTTCACCTCTGCTTCTTCAACGGCCGACTCGTCAGCTCCTACTCTCAGAACGGCGCTCTCTGGCACGTCCTCCTTGATCTTCCGCTTGGTCAGAATCACTGGCTCCGTCTCACCTAATTCTGCGTGCTGCCGTCCATCCGGTCCCGTCAGAACGAGGTAACCAGCATGGCGGCCTCGCTCCAACAGTGTCGCTAAACAAATGCAGAGAGATATTTATTTTTCAATAAGCCTGACTTACAACATGTTGCAATTTAAAGGTGCTTGCAGTCGTTTTGCAGACTTTTAACTTAAAGGTACAGTATCAAAAACAGTGTAAAATCCAGAGAGAAAATTGTCATGCATAACCATTTTTAATCCAGCAAAACAGCTAAAAAAGAAATACCCTTAAAAGATATGATGTTCTGTGCAGGATTTCTTCTTTCAAGCAGCAGTTGGGAAAGTCGAGGATGCATCAGGAATGATGAATGCATCTCATTCTGAGTATCAACAAGCACACATCAGTGCCTTATTTCTGCAGGTGTGTGTTTGTGTGTGTATATTTACGCTCTTACAGTCTGGTTGCCGCGACTCTGACTCTGTCCCCAGAGCATGAACACTGAGTAGGTGTTCAGTGTGAGGACAGACGCGGGAGGAGGACTCTGAGTCCAGAACAACAGATGCACCTCCCACAGGACCACTCCAGAGCTTCCACTGAGAACCAATACCTAAAACACACCATAGATAGATAATATATACATGCACCAAATGTCTGGGGTCAGTTTTTCTTTTGATCATTAAATGCACAAAAGCAGTGTTAAGTCGCTGGGGTATATTTGTAGCAATAGCCTACAATACATTGTATGGGTCAAAATTATCGATTTTTCTTTTATGCCCAAAAAATCATTAGGATATTAAGTAAAGATCATGTTCTTTCTGATTATTATCAATGCTGAAAACAGTTGTGCTGCTGAAAAGTTTGGTGGAAATCGTTATATGTTTTATTTTTCAGGATTCTTTGATGAACGGAAAGTTCAAAAGAACAGCATTTCTCTGAAATACAAATCTTTTGTAACATTATAAATGTCTTTACTGTCACTTTATTTATTCAGCTTATTTAATCATTCATGAATTAATCTCAATTTCAAAAAATTGACCCTTATGACTGGTTTTGTGGTCCAGGGTCACATATTATTGCATAATTGCATTTTTTTTTTTACATCTTATATGATTTTTTAAATGTTAAAATTTTATTTTTTTTTACAATTTAAAATATATTAATCCATGACACGATTTCACAAAAATAGTGTTCTTTTTAGCATTTTATTTTACATTAATCACCAACTGGACAAAACAAACATTTTGGCTCAAGGCCTTCTTCAGTGCATTGAACAATTCAATCCCTCCACCCACTTTTTAAGTCATTAATTATATTAAATATATATATGGAATTTATTCCTGTGATGCAAATCTGAATTTTCAGCATCATTACTCCAGTTTTCAGTTTTTTACATATGATTAAAACAATCAAAAATCTCTCTCTCTCTATATATATATATATATATATATATTTTTTTTTATATATAGTTATATATTATTATTATATTAATTAATTTATATTTATATATATATATATATATATATACACACACACACACTCACACACATATAGCATATCTAACTCTATATATCACCTCAAATTATTATCAATAATAATACATTCAACCACTTACTCTTTTGGTTTTATTGCCAATGTCTTCCTCTATCATTATGTCTGGAATTCCATCTTTGTCAAATTGCCCAAATGTTGGCACACTAGAAAAACACACACAGAGGAATAAATCAATGTAATGCACAAATACCTTCCACTGGTTTGGGATCAGTGTTTTTATGGCACCTGAGCAGAGTGCTGGTGTTGGTGCTCCATGCGATCTTCAGTTTGTCTGTGTGCAACAGTGACACGCTGGAGTCCGTCTGGACCAGCAGTGATGGAGAACTACTGCCAGGAACAACCATCACACGCTTCAGAGAATCAGACCTGCAGTGAAGCCATCAGAAGAAACCCATAATATCATGAGAATGGAAAATCAAAGAAAGAAAGTATATACGGTTTAATCCCCAATGCGTGTTACTGATAGAGGGAGATCAATCCAGTGTTTTTGTCAGATTTTTCCTTCCAGCTTTTCTCTTCCTTCAGCACAGACTCCAGAACGGCCAGCTTTGTCAGATGTCGCAAACTGACCGCATAGAGTCCAGATTCTGTGGAGAGAGAGAAACAGTTGAGTTCAGAGATATAAAGGAGAAACAATAGAGAAGAGATGCTATAATCCGCTACTCACTTGTGAGTAACAGCAGGTATGGAGCGCCACTGGCCGTTTTGAACTGCTGGTGACCAAACACCCCGTTCCAATCAACATTCGCCTTCGAGCCGATCTGATCACCTGACTTTCCTGAGAAAAACACCAGCTCGCTCTAAAAGAGGAAATGGATTACAATGAACGTTATCATAAAGTCTTCAGCACAGGTGTTATTGAGTGTGTGTGTGTGTCGTACCGGTATGGGTGTGAAAGATGGCGCTTCAGGATTATATGAAAGTATGGCAAAGTCGTCTGCTTTATCAGCGTTCAAATCCTGAATGCTGATCAGCGGCAGATTTCCATTCAGCACAGTAGAACGTGACTGCTGCCACCTGATCACACCTGATGGAACAAACACATCAAAATGTTTCCGAATACACTGTTGATTTGGACAGAAAGTACTGAGGCGGTACCATGATACTGTATTATTAACATATTCATACATTACTGTTCGAGAGTTTGGGAACATTGTTTTTTTTTAAAGAAAATAATACTATTATTGCATTAATCTGATCAAAAGTAACAGTAAAGACATTCATAATGTTACAAAAGATTTCTCTAACACTTAAAAATAAGGTTTAATTTGTTAACATTAGTTAAATGCATTAGTTAACATGAACTAAAAATGGACAATACTTATACATTTATTAATCTTAACTAATGCTAATCTCAACATTTAATAATAACAATGTATCTGTTAACATTAGCACTGTGAACTAACATAAATATTATTTTTTTTTACAATAAGCTATAAAATGTTATAAATGTTAATTTTATAACATGCTATAAAAATATTTATTGTTTTAAAAAATATTATTGTTAGTTTATGTTAGTTAATGCATTAACTATTGGCAAATGAGACCTTGTTGTAATGTGTTAAAAAGGTTTCTGTTATAAATAAATGCTGTTCTTATGAACTTTGTTAATCAAATAATCAAGGTTTGTCACGGTTTTCACAAAAATATGAAGCAGCATAACTGTTTTCAACATTGACAATAATAACAAATGTTTTCTCATATTAGAATGATTTCTGGAGGATCATGTGACACTGAAGACTGGAGTAATGATGCTGAATATTCAGCTTTGATCACAGGAATAAATTACATTTTAAAATATATTCACATAGAAAACAGCTATTTTATATTGTAATAATATTTCATATTTTTTCTGTTTTTACTGTATTTTTAATCAAATAAATGCAGTCTTTATAAGCATTACAGACTTCTTTCAAAAACATTAAATAAAACTTACAAAATGAGTCTATACCATAATATTTACATAGTACTGTTTCAAATACATGGTGCTTTTTTCTTAGTGATATTCACATCTGTGTTTACTTAAATCCTGCACCTGTCTTTTTATCAATAGCTGTGAGATTGTCTGCGTGAGCAACCAGACATCCTGTTCCCTGACGTCCGAGGCCCTTTACGCCACACTCCACCCAATCAAATTCAGCAGCTAGAGGTCTTTCCCAAAGCGTCTTCCCATCGGTACCATCAACAGCTGTTAAAACCAGACATGGGATTGATAAATCTGAAAAGAAAAAACATTATTTCAGGCAGCATAATACACAACATAGCAGCAGTGGTCTCTTGTGAAGATTTTTATTTTTTTGGGGAATAATGACTTTAATTTAGGTCTGATCCTTAGACATAACTATCTGATTGAAAACTAACGCACAAGCCATGTGAACTTCTTTTAAGATGCTTTTGTGGTGTTTTAAACATTTTGATTTTTTATTGAATAGATTTGTCTCTATAAACAACAGCAAGCAGGTTAGTACATGTGTGTTTTTAGGCTTACCTTCACTCAAACACGTGTTGCGGCTGGCTTCAGAGTCCTTGTAGATGAACAACACATCCAAGACTTTGTCTTCATTGGCGTCCTCAACAGCCAGGAAATCATACGTGGCTACAGGAGAGAAACCCTTTCAGTATCCGGTCAGAAATGCATGAATGTAACTACTGTATTTTGCACGTTGCTCACCTGCGTCAGGTAACGTGCGGTTCCAGGTGGAGAAGTATTGAGGCCGTACGGGGCAGGGAAGGATGAATGAAAAGGTGAAGACCACTGCCAGGCACAGGAAGAGAGAGAAGAGGAAGGCAGCCGTGCGCCACCCCGTCAGTTGTGAGAAGCCCAGCTTTTCTGTGCAGCTTTTCTTCTTAGACACGCCCCCTTCTGCCTCTCCACCCTTCAGAGGCTCCGCCTCAAAACCACTCCCTGATGCGTCTGCCATCTCAGAGCAGCAGAACTCCTCACCACTGCAACACAGAAGCAGGTGAGACATAATCATCTGATCATTATTAAAACATTTATTTTACAGTCAATCATATGTTATGCAAAATGTTTGGGTTGTATTCCAGAATACCGTTTAATAATTTGACATTACAAGCCTACTGTATCACATTTGATATAGGTCTAAAGCATTTAAATGATCGAAACTGAATTGGGAGATACAGAGTGACAACTGATATTTCTATGCATTTTTATGTAAATATCTGCTGTGCTGTTATGAAGATCTCAGTGATTTACATTACAACCGATCAGAATTTCATCTTACTTCCTGGTCACATACATATCAGCATCTGTACTAAATAGCATATTTTTGCTCAGTTTTTTTCCTCTTTGAGTATGAGTTTCATATTCTCATTATATTATATGAGCCATAAAAGCCTTATGTATCATATAAGATACACAACAACAACAAAAAACACATATGCAAACTTTCTTTACAGATTAAAAAAAAATACTTAGTGTAAAGGTTTAATAAACTGTTCCATTAAAAAAATTTAAATTTTAAAATAAAATTTTTTCATTTATGAGATTTTTCTGGCTATACTGACTATCAGGCTTTACTGTATGAATCCAAATATGTGTTTTTGTAATCTTAAAATCAATTTTAATGCCGCAGATAATTGTCTGCAAGTCTACTTAAGCACAAAATGTTAAGACCAATTGTTATTTTAAAAATCATAATAACATAATTTTAAATTCTGACTGAAAAATTTAATACAAAAATATATATTTAATGCTTAATTAAAATCCAGTACATTACAGTAATAATAATTTCATATGGCACATATAGGATGCCCTTTTATTCTTCAAATACTGAGCAAAAATAACAATGAAACACAGATTCAGGTCACAAAATGCCAAAATTTTATTCAATTCTCATTTGTTTCCAAGTCATGAATCCAAACATGCAAAAGAACACAGATCTCCGTAATAACGGACTCAAGTACTGTAAACTACGTGGTTCATCACCATACGCAAGGAAACAAAGGAAGAGTATCTAATTCTTCCAGCTCACAGGTCCCTCCTACCTGAATTCAACCCTGTATGTTCAGTGACAGCAGCCCTGATCATAACCATCAGAAGATTACGATCTACTGCATCCAGACCAGTGGCCTACTGTATGTAAACTCATGCACACTCAACAGATCCTGCTTCTTTTCCCATCCAGAGTGTTCTGCGTCAAACAGGAGCTGTGGTTAAACATCCAAACAAAAACACAACAACAAAACACCTCAGTCATGCTGGTGGAGCTAGAAGAGCCCGGGGCCAAACAAGCACCTCCATTCTGGAAACTGTCATTTGGATGACAACAACAATTAACCACAGCAGCACTGCACCACACACACAGGCTAATCACTTATATACACACAAATACACTATAAACAACATAATCATGTATATATAATGATTTTTAACGTATAAAATTCATCCCAAGCCTGTTGCATGGCATTAAATAACAACCACAGTAACTAAATAAAGCTTATATAAGAAACAACTAAGTCTTTTCACATTCATTAGCTAAAATACAAAGTTGTGTCTAGCATAAACAGAAATCAAGATCATGTTTTGTAGAAGAATTGATAGGTCTGTTTTAAATATAAGTTAAAATGACATCAGTTAGTTGATCTCTAACTTTTAATTAGCAAGCCTCGCTTGTTGGCCAAACAGAAACCAAGTAAATGAATTAAATAGCGATCGTTTTGGTAAAACACACTTTTGTCTGATCAAAACAAACCTGGTGAATGATCCTTCTGCTCCTCGAGTAGCTGAGCAGGTTTGACAACGACACTTCCGCGTACGGCGACACGACTGGGACAAAAGAGCGATTTTGTTACAATGGATTTTTCTTATATCTTATCTTATTTATCGTATCTTATTTGCTCGGACGACAAAATGTAAAATGTCGTTTAAAATTACCCACTGAGAAATTATAAAGAAAGCGTTTTACTAATTTTACGCATAGCGCAGAAATGTAAGTATTTCTTTTTGTGTTAGGCTGTCGTCTAAAAATATTGCTAAAAATAACTGTATTAAAATAAATTACTTTAAAGATCAATTATTTAAACGATTAGTTAAAATGAATTTTGTAACTGCTAAATGTAATATTATTGATGTTAGTAAGCATGTTACAGGTTTTGTTATACATTTGAGTTTCTTAAAGGGGTCATGTGATGCGATTTAAATTGTTCCTTTCTCTTTGGAGTGTTACAAGCTCTTGGTGCATAAAGAAGATCTGTAAAGTTGCAAAGACTAAAGTCTCAAATCCAAAGAGATATTCTTTATAAAAGTTAAGAGTCAGCCACGCCTACCTAAAACGGCTCGTTCTAACACGCCCCCACATACCTACGTCACAATGTGGGAAGATTTGCATAACGCTGCCCAAATGTTCACTCAAAGAAAGAAGGCGTAACTTTTATTCTCGCTGTAGTATTGTTGCCGCCGCTGCCATGTGCTGAAGGCGCTGTGTGCTTTGTTGTGAAAGCGAAACTACTTTGTTTGGTCTTCCAAAAGAGGACACGACTAGAAATCAGTGGTTAAGTTGTATTTACAACACTGTTCCAGAACACTTCAACCCAAATATTCAGATGTGTGCAGCGCATTTTATGGAACTAAATACACAAAATAATGTTATTTTTAGCAACATCATATGACCCCTTTAATTATTATTATTATTATTATTATTTATTTCATAAAACAAACAATACAAAAATGTAATAATAATAATAATAACTGTATTAAAATAAATTACTTTAAAAATAAATTATTTAAACGATTAGTTAAAATGAATCTTTGTAACTGCTAAATTTAATATTGATGTTAGTAAATATGTTACAGGTTTTGTTATACATTTGAGTTTCTTAATTATTATTATTATTGTTTATTTCAGAAAACAAACAATACAAAAATATAATAATAATAATAATAATTATTGTCCTCATTTGTAAGTCGCTTTGGATAAAAGTGTCTGCTAAATGACTAAATAAATAAATAAATATTTAAGATTGCGTAGCGCGCTCTGATTGGCCGCTCACTCGTTTGAGTTCGTTTTGTTTGCTCTAGAGTGACGGCGCGAGAGACACTGGAGCGAAGCGGTTCGCCGATGATTAAAACTTTCATTTTAGGGTAAAATCACCATCACCTTTGTAAGGCGAGCGAGTTAATCGTGTCAGGATGTCGGCCCAGGCTCAGATGAGAGCTTTGCTGGATCAGCTGATGGGAACGTCGAGGGATGGTGAGTGTTAGCCGCGTGCTAACGGCTCTGAGAGGATTTCTGTAGGCCGCGCGCTCAGATTAACACAAACCAGAATATAATGAGCCAGACAAATATTAAAATCAATGTCTTAAGATATATATCAGAGTCTTAAGAATAGCTAAATGCAGCAGCATTTCCTCTTGAAATGCTTCAGTTTAATGTTTGTGTCCATAAAGGGGAGTAATGACGCCACGGCTCCGTATGCTAAGATAATGGACTAATGATGAGGACCTTTTATCAGAAATTACGATTAAGTTTATTAATTAGTTAATTATTAACAGTAAGAGCTGTTATACTTAATTATATTGTTGCTAATAAGTTGAGAAATTAGGCTTATATTTTAGAATGAATTAAGAATAGGAAATATACAGACATCCCATTGTGCCTGTATATGTTACTCGTATGTACTTTGGTAAAACTGCTAAAAATTGTAATGTTATTATTATTAATATTAGTGATAGATCAATATGATGTCAATGTCAATTAATTAGCTGATCTTTTTGACAGCCTTGTCAGTGGATTCTATCGTAAAATATTACAGTATTAACAGTAAGAGCTGTTATACTTAATTATATTGTTACTAATAAGTTGAGAAATTAGGCTTATATTTTAGAATTAATTAAGAATAGGAAATATACAGACGTCCCATTGTGCCTGTATATGTTACTCGTATGTACTGTAAAACTGCTAAAAATTGTAATGTTATTATTATTAATATTAGTGATAGATCAGTATGATGTGAATGTCAATTAATTAGCTGATCTTTTTGACAGCCTTGTCAGTGGATTCTATCGTAAAATATTACAGTGAATATGTGTGGGCAGTTGGAAAATATCTTTACTAAATGAATATTGTGAAAATTAAAATGTTTTTATTTATTTAGTCATTTAGCAGACGCTTTTATCCAAAGCGACTTACAAATGAGGACAACAGAAGCAATCAATTGTAGTATTAAAACAACTAAAAACCGATCCAAAACTAAAAGCTAAAACTTTATAAATACTACCTATACACATTTTAAAAATAAAGAGATTAAATAAAAATGACATCATTCCCAGCTTCCTCATTACAGGTTTGGGCAAGAAAAGCTTTTCCCTTTAAACTTTTAGAGGCTGGGACCGCAGGAGGGGTTCTGAATGGGAGAGACCTCGCAGTGTGTATCAATTAACCTTTCACTTTAGTTTTCAATGTCTTATTTCAACTTGGTCAACTGTGGTTTAATATGCACATTAGATTATGCAGCATTTCTGTATGTACGCATGAGGGCTAGTGCTATTACTGAGTACAAGATGGCTCTCTGAAACATGACATCCCTCTCTGATCTGCTATCCCATACACCTTTGCACTCAATTGGCTGTTATAAAACCGTAGATGCATCATGCAAACTAGGGCTGGGTGATATAAAACATTTGATGTGTTTTTTTTTTTTTTCCTGGCTTTATAATGTTTCGCAACGTCTTGAATAGCAGTGCAATAATTTTAATGCTTATATTTTAACCATTCAACTTCCCAAATGTAGTGTTTCTGATTTAAACTTCATTTGCACGTGTTAATTTTCATGTATTAATTGCTTTTGTAATAAATTTTGCTTGTTATATTGGTGCATATAAATTAAATCTCTTGTGATAATTTTTAAATAATTTATAACTAAATTATACCTTAAAATGCAGAAAAATATCAATATTTTTATAATTATTTTAGCTATATCACCCAGTCCGAATGCTCACTGTAGAAAACATCAGTGCATTTATATGGTGGCTGTACAGAATAAATAACTAATAATAACGGACTGCTAGCCTCTTGGTTTGGTCCGTGATCAGATGCTACCTCTTTATTTTTAGACCTTCACATTAAGGAGCCAGTTAAAGAAAGCGGCCTTGGGTCAGTGGAAGTTAAATATCTCCAATCTACATGAACGAAAAGTCTTTACTTTCTTGTGAAACACAATTTATATCTGACACTGTCAAACACACGCTCAGTATATGTCAGAGCTCATGATTTCACCGCAGTGACAGGCAGGTGTGTGACCCTTGGCCGCAAAGTTAGCAGTGTGTAGCGGACGCAGTGTGTGTGTGAGACACGTGCGAGTGTGTGTGTGGTCTCATTCAATGTCTGTTATGTGCTGTGTCCTTACAGGAGATGAGTCGAGACAGCGGGTTAAATTCACAGACGAGCGCGTCTGCAAATCGCACCTGCTCAACTGCTGCCCGCATGACATCCTCTCTGGAACGGTGAGGGAAAACATATTACAACAGTCAATGATGAGTGTTTGTGCAGCATACTGATGAAGCCGTGTGTTTGTAGCGCATGGACCTTGGCGAATGCTCTAAGATACATGACCTGGCGCTGAGAGCAGACTATGAGATCGCGTCTAAAGAGAGAGACCTGTTCTTTGAACTGGATGTGAGTGATTCGGTATTGAGTCGAGCTCATCTGCTAGTGTTTTCAATGAATTTGCAGCAAAGGCTGATGCTGAATCTGTGTTGTGCAGGCGGTGGATCACCTGGAGTCGTTTATTGCCGACTGTGACCGCAGGACTGAGTTGGCCAAGAAGCGTCTCGCTGAGACACAGGAAGAGATCAGCGCTGAGGTGGCCGCAAAGGTAAGTGTGGAAAAATATAGTCACAATGATTTAAAAAAAAGTTTTTGTTACTATAATAGCCCTGGTTATTATAACCCTGAATGTTTAAAAAAAAAAAAAAAAGTCAATAAATGCATGATTTTTCCCAAGTTAGTGTGTAATCAGTGTAAATATTTGCGATCTCTGTACCGACCAGAGCAATCATTATTAATGATTTTTGGCACAATCAAGCCTTTCTTTACTTTTCTCAGTTTATGAATGATCTGATCTTTTGTGTGCAAATAAAAGGAGGAAAATGAATAAGATGAGATGCTGTGTATTCAAGTCCCTAGATTATATAAAGAACTCATGGAGTTGTGTGATCTGTGTCTTATTTACCTTGTGTGTTTGGTTGGCAGGCAGAAAAGGTTCACGAGTTGAACGAGGAGATCGGGAAGCTGCTGGCGAAAGCTGAACAGCTCGGCGCTGAGGGGAATGTGGATGAAGCCCAGACAGTTCTACAGGAGGTTGAGAGAGTCCGAACTAAGAAGAAGGATGCAGAGGTTCGTCAGCATACTATATCATTTATATGCAAGCTGTCACATTTCATTGATTCAAAATGTGATGTTACCTTTTTCATTTTTTACAATATAATCTCTCTCTTACTCTAGTGTGAGTTTGTAGTGTTTTCTGGATGTTTTTCTGACATGGCAATAAAAATAAATAACTGCTACTAGTATCGTAATTTGCTCTGTTTTATTTACAGGAAGAGTACAGGAACTCTATGCCCGCCTCCAGTTTCCAGCAGCAGAAGTTGCGCGTCTGTGAGGTGTGCTCTGCCTATCTTGGTCTCCATGACAATGACCGGCGTCTCGCTGACCACTTTGGCGGCAAACTGCACCTGGGCTTCATTCAGATCAGAGAGAAGCTGGAACAGCTGAAGGTAACGGGTCAGCCTGAATCAGGTGCTGGCGGGGGGTGTCATTGGTTACATTGCAGCATTTCTTTACAGAAAACCGTGCAGGACAAACAGGAGAGACGGAACCAGGAGCGACTCAGGAGGAGGGAAGAGCGGGAGAAAGAGGAGAAAATGAAAAAACGGTGAGAATATTTTAAACACATTTTCATGTGACCTGGTGCATTTCTAAGATTCCAAATTTTTGTGAAATATACGGTAGAATCTAAAATGATCTTTGTCTAGTTTGCCTATTTATTTTGATTGTTTTTATATAGTATTTTGTGTGTTTTGAATTTAAAATTCAAAGACATCACCTGTTAAAATCATTAATTTTGAGAATATTTTATGCACATTTTCATGTGATCGTGTGCATTTCTAAGATACTACATTTTTGTAAAATGTTGGTAAAAAAAAAGAGTCTGGTTTGCTAGTTTATTTTCATACGATATTTAAATGTATATTTATTATTAATAATTATCATTAATAATTAAATCTGTTAATTTTATCTACTTGTTTTTGTTTTTCAGTTTTTGAAGTTCAAGGAAACCCACTGTTAAAAAGACTAATGTATTTATTTAAAGATTTAAGAAAGTTTCCAAAGTCAATGAGTAGTCAGTTTAAATAATAGTGATTGCAATGTTGACCAAAATAATTGTTATTCTTGTCTGGTTTTCCCTGTAGGACTAAGTCACGCAGCCGAGAACGCAAGAGGTCAGTTGCTCATTCACTTGTTCATTCAGCATTTATTTTCATGTCTATCATGTCAGTTATTGCAACAAACATGCAAATCAAGGTCTGAGATTAAGTCAAAGAACATTGTGCATTGGCCACAAGTACATTGTGCTACGTAAGAATAATGGTTTCGACAGTCGTGGAAATGTCAGGGCATTTAAAAAATTTGAACTTTGAGGGGATTCATAAAATCTTGAAACCTTTTGAATGTCTGTACTCTGTTCTATAGTAGATTTTCCTAGGCTCTCCTCTAAAATATCTCATTGGCTATCAACTGCTTTTAAATGTTAAAACTTCCCCAAAAAGCCATAGCAATAGCAGGTTTGTGAGCAAATTGTTCTTTTCAATGTGTTGAACTAGTTTGCATATTAATCAGAATGATTCATTGTCAAATCAGCCTAAATCTAAATAAAATCCATATCTTATAATTAGGGATACACCGATACCACTTTTTCCAGTACTCGCCCGATACGCCTTTCTGTTGTCGGTATTTCTTTGTTTGAATATGGCGCTTATCACATGCTGTGGTATCGGCGTTTGGTATCAGGGCATTTTAACGAGTATGAGTACAGGAGACCAGTATCGGGTCCGATACCGGTATCGGTGCATCCCTACTCATAATTGCAAATGACTAAAAAGATCAAAGAAAATAGGCTTTTATTGTAGCATTGGACATTTCTCTAATCTCATGCATGTAGCAGTTGTTCATGTCTGTTTTTCCTTTCACTGTTTCTAGGTCTCGTTCTCGCGAACGTGATCGAGAACGCAGACGCCGACGTTCCTGCTCCGCATCGCGAGAGAAGCGCCGTTCCCGTTCTCGCTCCAAAGAGCGCGACAGACGCCGGCGGCACCGATCTCGATCCAGATCCCGCTCGCGCCACAGCCGAGAACACTCACACAAGTAATAATTAATACTCTTCCTCTCTCTCATTCATATGAAGCTTTCTAAAGCCTGAATTGTGGTTTATTATAGTTTCTGACATTTTTTTTAAATATATTTTTAATTAATTAAAATTATATCATAATTTTTTAAAAATTGTTCTTAAATCTTTTAGATTCTGTTTTAAATTAATACATCAAGTATGGCTTTCACCATCAAAATAGGCAAGACTGGCATTAAAAAGCAAACAAACCCTCAATGATCTTGTAGTAGCGGTTGATTGATGTGTGTCTAGGTCTTCACGGGACCGTGATCACGAGAGGGACAGCAAGCGCAGTTCATCTGAGCGGAGATCAGACGGGCTGAACGGGAGGACGGAGTCTCGCCGTCACGATGACAGAGAGGCTGGAGAGATCTGAATCATCTCACTCTATCATAACAAACACACAGCGCGCTCCCATACATATACCCACTTTTTTATTTATCATGTTTGCTTGGTCCGTAGTAAACTGCCCACGCCCTGTTTCATTATAGTCTTTGTAGTCTTTAATATCTCAGTCCAGTGAGACGTAAACCTGTCGGATTCACTGTCAAATGTTGAAATGACAATTGTGTGTGGAGATTTTTTTTTTATTTTCTCAAAAGTATGTACTGCCACTTTTTTTTGCCCCTCCATAATGTCTGTTATTTTTTTGGGATTGGGATTTTATTTTGTACAGTTTGTCCTGAGTGGATGTGTGCATGTTTTGCTGAAGGCTGTTCTGAGGTCAGTTTAAACGCCCTTTCTTTAAATATAGCTGCAGTATTCCCCCATAGAGACAGAGAGTGACTCTTTGCATCAGTAGCAGAGGCGTAGGAGATTAATAAATCTAAACGAGTGAATCCGTCATGGCGTATTGTTTCAGATTTACTGTGTACATGATCTTTTATAAGGCTGTTTTGATTTCATGTCCTTATCAAAGTGCATTAAATGGTTTTATGACTTTAAATGGTGTTTGTCATTAATGAGTGAACTTATACATTCTCAGTTTATTAGTTGAAAAAGTCACTTTAACAATTTGGTCCCTTTTTACCAAATAATTAAGATGAGTGTTCGTGTATTTAATATTGAACCTGTTTTATTTATTCCTTTAGATTGTAAATTTGATATGCAGTAAGTATTTAGAAATACTTCACAAAATAATTACTGTTTTTGCATTATTGTAAGGGGTAGGTTTAGGGTTGGTGTAGGTGTAGACGTTAATAAAACAATGTAATAGGTAGAAAATTAAATAGAGAATATAATTTTTTTCTACAATTAAATACAAAATAGGCATTTGATGTATTTAAAATATTACTCTTTTGTGTTAGAATACAGTTGATTAGACTATTTGTTGGACATTATCTCGATGGAACTCAACTTCTCGTATACATGGATCTAACGTGAAAACTAAATTTATGGCATTCAGCTTTTAATGTGTCAGCTTTTCTAAAATATTTGTAAAAATTATTTTATTGCTATTTATTTATTATTAATTTATTTTGATTATTGCTATTTATTTTTTATATATATATATATATACATATTTGTATGATTATCATTATTTTTTAATTATTATTATTAGTCAAGTCTGCTTTATTGTCAATTCTTCCACATGTACAGCACATACACACAGAGAATTGAAATTGCGTTACTCTCAGACCCTTGGTGCATACAGATAACACTAACAGTAGCACATAAATACAGATAGATACAGAGATAAATAGATATATAGATACAATTATTATTTTAAATCTACCAGGGTTGGGGTGGGTTCTAAATTTACACAGTTGCTGTTTGTTTTATATTACTATTCCCAGAAGAAAATTCAATAAAGAGTTGTTAACAAAAAAAAAAAAGAATACAGTTGATTAAATTAATCTAATATGTCTTAATATTTTTTTTTCCAGTTCATGCCAGGGATTCATATCACTGTACTACCTTGAATTGTTTTTAATTCATAATCGACGTCAAATTTATAAGTTATTGTACATTAATATGAATTTATAATAGGTCATAGGTTTTATTTTTAATATCACCAAAGACTATAGAATACCCTAAACAGGTCTTAAAAGGACTTTGATATCACGACTAGCGTTCCGTTTCTGTGCGTCGCCGACAGATGGCGTCATTAGGCTGCAGAACGTAGATCGTCATCTCCGGTAACGTCACCGCGACGGCACAGTCAAAACAACCGAAACATGATGCTAGCGTCTCACAGCCGCGAGTAAAATGTCGTGTTTTTAGCGATCGCCGATGAAAACGTTGGAGATTTGTCATCTTAATGTCATGATCGTGGCGGACTATGAGTTTAGCAGCGTTTCAATCAGAATAAGGGCTCAAAAAGTGATCAATAAAGCACCAGTGTCGCGACCGGTTTGCTAACGACAGGCGTCAGTCCAGCACTCAAACCCGGTACGCGTGAAATTATTCACATTTTACTTTGAAAATATGACATGTAAAGTCAACTGTGCTTCATTAAACTAATTAAAGCGCCTGTAGACGTACAGAGCACAGATGTGTCAGTCACATGTCGTTCTGTAGAGTTTCTCTTCTAATCACCATAAGTTTAGATTTAAGAATTATTTTGACTCGATTTTGTAGATTCATTATCGGTTTTGGTCAAATGACATGAGTTTTATGTTCACTGTGCTGCTGGAGGAGCTTGAATCATCTGCCACAGCTGTCAGGGGCTGATCAGAGTCCAGATGTGTGTGTGTTATGTCCATTATGTAGTCTATATATGAGTGTTATTGCAATCTACATGTATGTAGTGTGTATTATTGTAGTCCTGATATATGTAATGTTTTATTGAGTGTAAATTGTGTTTCTGACGTTGATGTGTGTGTGTGTGTGTGTGTCTGCAGAGAGAGAGGTTTGCTCCAGGCAGGTATCTGGGTCCCCGGGACAGGCCGGTGCTCACCGAAGAGACGGGGAACAGGATCGGTAAGCAGGGGGGAGCGGCCACCACAGAGCCTGTGGAGAAGATGGCAAGCAGCCCCGAGAAAAGCTCCTCCGCACAGGAGCTCAAGGAGCAGGGCAACCGCTTGTTCCTCAGCCGCAAGTACCAGGAGGCCGCAACCTGCTACAATAAAGCCATTGTGAGTGGAGCGCGAGTTTGTCCGTTTACAGGAAATTTACAAGCACATCTGAGAGAAAAAATAAATCTTGCAGACAGCCAAACCTTTGAAATTTGTGACCCTGGAGCACAAAACCAGTCGTAAGTAGCACAGGTATATTTGTAGCAATAGCCAACAATAAATTGCATGGGTCAAAATTACCGAATTTTCTTTTATCCCAAAAATCATTAGGATTTTAAGTAAAGATCATGTTCCATGAAGATATTTTGTAAATTTCCTACTGTAAATACATCAAGACTTAATTTTTTATTAGTAATATGCATTGCTAAGAACTTCATTTGGACAACTTTAAAGATGATTTTCTCAATATTTAGATTTTTTTGCACCCTCAGATTCCAGATTTTCAAATAGTTGTATCTCGGCCAAATACTGTCCTGTCCTAACAAACCATACATCAATGGAAAGATGATTTATTCAGCTTTCAGATTATGTATAAATCTCAATTTTAAAAAATTGAACTTATGACTGGTTTTATGGTCCAGTGTCACATTTATAGTCACATTTGAGAGAAAAATAAATCTTGCTGACATCAAACTTTTGAAAATTTGGAGAAAAAAAAAAGTAAAACTTTTGACATTTGCTGTCCTAACAAACCATACATCAATGGAAAGATGATTTATTCAACTTTCAGATTGTATAAATGTCAATTTTAAAAAATTTACCTTATGACTGGTTTTATGGTCCAGGGTCACATTTATAGTCACATTTGAGAGAAAAATAAATCTTGCTGACATCAAACTTTTGAAAATTTGGAGAAAAAAAAAAGTAAAACTTTTGACATTTGAAAATTATGATCAGTGACATTGTATTTTGTTGGATACCAAGGTTTTTCGTGTCTACTTGTTAATGAAGATTTTGTGGACACACACATCAGTGTTTTTAGATTTGTGGAGTAATTTCATTTATAACAATTATTTGGAATTATAAAATCTGTCTTTTGGGGTAAGATGGCCCACCAGAGTTTTTTCACATATTTGTTATTAGTGATATTATTTTTTTTAAAACCTAGGCCGATTAAATTAAATCATGTTATTTGAATATGTAAATATTAATTTGCCTGTATTTAAGTCATAGACTAAATTTACCTTTCAGATAAACCTCTTTTACTGGGATTCTGCTTTGTCTGTCATCGGTTAATTTCATATCTTTTTTTTTTGTTAAAGAAATTTGTGTTTTTATTCAGTAAGGATGCATTAAATCGATCAAAAGTGACAGCAAAGACATTTCTAATGTTACAAAAGATTACAGCTTAATATTCACCAAAAAATGCTAATAAATCTATCACAGTTTTCAAAAAATTATGAAGCAGCTCAACTGTGCTCAGTTTAGATGAAATGTACATGCATCTTTGACATGCAGTAATGCATTTAACTCATCAAGTGGAGAATGTTTGGATATTGATTTTTCTAGGAATGATCAAAGTTGTGCTGTACTGAATGTGTTTCTGCTGTGCTGTGTGTAGAATCGTAACCCGTCGGTGGCTGTGTACTACACTAACAGAGCGCTATGCTACGTGAAGCTGCAGCAGTACGACAAGGCACTGGCCGACTGTAAACACGCCCTCGAGCTCGACAGCCAATCGGTGAAGGCCCACTTTTTCCTGGGCCAGTGTCAGCTGGAGCTGGAGAATTATGAAGAGGCCATCGGCAATCTACAGAGAGGTACACATGGAATTTCTATGGAATTTGAAGAAAAAAAACACATAAATGTGTTACACATTTGAATTAGAATATTGATTGAATGGATTTTTTAGGAAACCTTTAATAGCATAGTTCACCCAAAAATGTAAAATTCTATCATTTACTCATCCTCGTTGTTCCAAACCCGACTCTCTTTCTTTTGGTGAACACGGTTTTTTTAATTTTTTTTTATTAATGGCGCTCTCTTGCTCTCTCTTTTTGTGTATATATAAAGTACTTGTCAAATGTTTGGAAAAATTCAGATTTTAAATGTTTTTAATGAAGTGTCTTCTGCTTGCCAAGGCTGCATTTATGTGCTCAAAAATACAGTAAAAACAGTAATATTGTGAAATATTATTACAAATTAAAATAAATGTTTTCTATTTGAATATCTTTTAAAATGTAATTTATTCCTGTGATACCACGCTAAATTTTCAGCATCATTATTACTCCAGTCTCCAGAAATCATTCTAATATGCTGATTTGCTGCTCAAGAAACATTTCCTGTTTATTAACAATTTTGAAAACAGTTGTGCTGCTTTATATTTATTAGAAACCACGATATACTGTCATTCAATTGCTGTGTGTGTGTTTAATAGAAATTAATGTTTTTATTCAGCAAATACACATTATTGATCAAAAGTGACAGTAAAAACATTTGTTACAAAATATTCTGTTTCAAATAAATGCTGTTCTTTTGAACTTTCTATTCATCAAAGGATCCTGAAAAAAATGTTTCCACAAAGTATTAAGCAGCAAAACATGATTTCAACATTGATTATAAAAACCATTATTACGGTAATAACTGACCACCAATAATGATTGAGCAGCAAATCCGCATATGATTAGAATCCCTTTCTGCAGCACCAACATTAACAATTAAAAGCAGTATGTGTTGTATGTGATGTTTGTCATTTTGAAGGACTTAAATAATGTACATCATCTGTGCATCCGTAAAAACCATCATAGAAATAATCCAGATGCCTAAACAGACATCAGACATCAGTTGCAGTGTTCAAATGCAGTGTGATGAACTCGCTCTTTGAAATGCTTTTCAGCTTATAACCTGGCGAAGGAACAGCGGTTGAATTTTGGAGACGATATCCCAAGTGCTCTTCGCATTGCCAAGAAGAAACGCTGGAACAGCATAGAAGAGAAGCGAATCAGCCAAGAAAACGAGCTGCACGCTTATCTCAGCAAACTCATCCTGGCCGAGAAAGAGAGGTGACGCTCACGTCAGTCAGTCATGCGGATCTGTGTAGAGAATCTGTGCTGTAACACCTGTCCGTCTCTGTGTTTGTGTTTCAGAGAGCTAGACGACAGCGGGAAGCAGTCCGAGGACAGTCAGAACGGAGGCGAGATCAGCAAGATCAAATCCAAACACGTGAGACACGCATTCAAATACACAAGCATCTCTGCACGCTGTGTGTTTGATGAAGTGATGTCATTTCCTGTGCTCTGTGCTGCTCCTGCAGGATAAATATTTGATGGACATGGATGAGCTTTTCTCTCAAGTAGATGAAAAGAGGAAGGTATGGAGAGATCATCTCAAACGTTGTGATAAACATCTATCATTGGTCCAAATAACTGTAGATTAAGCACCAGTGTGTTTGATTGGCTGTTGTGCAGAAGCGAGAGATCCCAGATTACCTGTGTGGGAAGATCAGCTTTGAGCTGATGAGAGAGCCCTGCATTACTCCTAGCGGCATAACCTACGATCGCAAGGACATCGAGGAACATCTACAGGTATGTGCACGAACATACATCGCATTAGAGATCACCATCATCTCAGCGGCGCTTGTTTGGCTTGTGCAAGAATTCTGACATTTTTGAGGCACTCCGATTTCTGCCAGGTTTTTGTCAGATTTTTTCTTCGTTTTTTGAGTCATGTGACTTCTATGGAAGCCCATTTCCTCCACTGATTAAAAAAAAAGATAAGTGCGACTTTTTATCTCGCGATTCTGACTTTTTCTCAGTATTGCGAGATGTAAAGCCGGAATTGTGAGATATAAACTCGCAATTCTGACTTTTTTGTGAGTTATCAAGTTATTGTGAGTTATCAAGTCCAGTTCTGAGGAGAAAAAAAGACTGATATGTTCTCAGAATTGAGTTTATATCTCACAATTCTGATTTAACTCACAATTGCGAGTTTATATCACACAATTCTGAGAAAAAAATTCAGAATTGCCTGTTTCTATCTTGCAATTCTGACCTCGTTTCTCACAACCGCAAGTTTATATTTCTCAATTCTGAGGAAAAAAAGTCAGAATTGTGAGAAAAAGTCTGTTACCTTTTTTATTTTTTATGCAGTAGTGGAAACGGGCTTCCATAGACTTCTCACTTTAGAGGCACAGGACGATTATGCCGTCATTGGCTGAAAAATTACAGATTGGCGGATCAGATTACAGCAATGTTTTTATTATTATTATTATTATTATTATTAAATACATTATAGTATTTTTTTGTATTTTTATTTTTTGGTTGTTTTGTCATTAGTTTTAGTAACTTTAGAACTTCAATTTAAACTTTTTTCAGTTAGTTGCCAAGACAATGTTCATCTTTTTCATTTAATATTCTATTTTATTTTAGTGCTATTTCAATTATCGTGTTTGGTGTCGTTACAACATCTACCAGCAGGAGCTCATAGGCTCTAGAAATAGATTTTATATATATTTTTTATATTTTCTGTTTTCATTCAATTTTAATTCAAGTTTTAGTAAGTTTGTTGTATGTTTAGGGTCATCATTGTACTTAAACTTTGTTTTTGTTTAGTTTATTTTTTCTATTGAATATTTATGTGTATTTTTTTTTCAGATTTAAGTTAACGAAAAAATGTTAATCAGTTTAGATTTTTTTGTATTTTTAAATAGTTTTATTTCCATTTTAGTAATTTATTTTATCTTTTTGTATCTAATAGTGATATTATATTGCTTTATTACTGTTAGCAAAAATGTTTTTAATAGTTTTAGTTTTTAACTAAAACAAGACAAAAAATGGCTATTAAAAAAAAAATTCTTTAAAAAAAAATGTAGAAAAAATTCTAAATGGCTATTAATGGAGAAAGATGCTATTTTCAGGCAGATGGTGTTGTTACAACTAGAACCCGACCGATATATAGTTTTGCCGATATTATCGGCCGATATGAGCCTGTCGCCGATATATCGGTATCGGCGAATATGCTGCCGATATGACATTTTTTTTTACAGAACATATAATGCAGATAAAATGCTTGAAATGGTGTAATTACTAGTTTGTCCAGCAGAGCGCGCTCCATTGTTTGCTACTGGCGACCTGGATGAAACGTTTTAAAGCTTAAGTCTATGGAAAACCATTGAAACTTTGAACGGCCATATCTCCGTAACGGCGCGGCGAATCCGCACCATGAAGTGAATCCCTTCAGCTCGAGGAACCCTCTTGAACGCGAATGGAGTGTACGTCTAGAGGCCCTCTTTCGAATGAGACCACCCCCGCGGGGTTCGGGAGTTACGGGTGGTTAAATTCGCGGTCTGGTGCCGACCGATCTAGCGATCCCGGGGGGCTACCGACGACTGAACACACACACACTCGAGCGGACCGCAGCGGTTTCCTCACGCCCAATCGAATCCTCTCCTGTATGTTCATGCACTTTAATCAGTGGAGCTTTGCTGTGGAGTATCTCGCCCGCAGGAGTCACCTGACCCTCTTTCTCGCCGTCTTTCTACTGTCCTTCCTTACCAGACAGAATAATGGCCCCATCCTGCAGGTTTTGTTTGGACACTTGCTTTCAATCGGAAACATTGCCTGATGTTTTCTGCACATGATGATGCTGTAATTTCCTCATTGAATGTTAAAATAGCAACATTATTGATGACACATCACTAATAATCATTCAGAGGAAACTTGCGCAGGTTGGTGTGTGTGTGTGTGTGTGTGTGTGTGTGTGTGTGTGTGTGTGTGTGTGTGTGTGTGTTTTTGTCTCTCTGTCTGTCTCTCTCAAGAGTGCGATATATGCGAGTAAAAAGTTCTAACATAAGTAGAATGTTTCTAAGATGCTTCGGGTTCTAGCAAGATGCCGATTTTTGTAACGAGCATTAAAACATATATTCAGATATTCATCCATATACTGGCTGCCAATCAATGAAACCGAACTGAGAATCTGTGGCATGCAGATGACATCATCATCATCATTGTTATGGTGTATGATGCGTTTAGTCTCACTATGTGTGTCTGTGCATTAGAACGAGAGGTAAGGGATTATTTCACACTATTGATTTTGTCTTTCCCTTTGGACCTTTGGGGAGTTTTCTGTTTCCTGTCATGAACACACACTTCCTGTTTAGTATCAGTATTTTTCAGAGAGCCCTTGTTAGCCGCTGGACGTCAGAGTTCCTGAACTGTTTGTCCGGCTGGGTTCAAATATTCCCCAGGTGTAACGAGTTTAGGTTGGATGCATTTTCAATAAATGTTATTTTGTTGCTTTTTGTAACAAATGGGTTGAGTTGAGTCTTATTCTTTCCAATAGCGTTAAAGTTGAGACCCTTAAGTAAACTAGGCATCTGAGAAGTGCAATACGAATTTTCAACCGCTCTATTTTAAGAGACAGTTCACCTAAAAATTTAAATTCTAACATCATGTACTAACCCTCACGTTTTCAAACCTAGTGGGTTCATTTTGATTTTCGTTTTTGTGCAAAACACAAAAGAAGATATTTTTCAAAATGTCTTCATTTTTGTTTGAGCTATTCCTTCAAATGCTGGATGCGTATGTGGTGAATATGGGCCAGTGACCAACAGAGGGCAGCAAGAGACAAGCCATCAGAAACAGAGAAAACATAAAAGATCATAAATGTAAAACAAAAAGGGATGCGCAGGTCTAAATGTTTTATTGCTCAGAATTAGCTTTTTGTGAATGGAAAAACATGATGATTTTTAAAATTAGTACTTTACTGAAAGTCATCGTTCATTGGGGTGGGGATCCTTTAGCTTATTGCTGAATGCTGCAAAGTATACACTGTAAATTATGCAAACAGTGCAAACATGTGACGTTGTTGTCATGTTGAGTGCGAATAATGTCCAGTTTAATTGCCATCTTTTTAAAATATGTCAAAGACATTTGTGTGTTTTAAAATATTTTTAAACCTGTTGTTGAGTGAGTGATAGTGTTTGAGCAGCTGCAGGATCAGTTCATCACTGTGACTCTGACTGACGGAGGTTTTTGTACGACTCTTTATCACTGTGTGAACACCTGACGCTGATCTGTCCTCTACTCTCTGAAACACACAACAAGAAGAAAATCAACTCAAAACTCTGACAATATACTTGAAGAAATTAATTCATATCAAACTTGTGCTCCACAAACCTTGAGCAAACGCTGTGAGAGTCCAGATGAAGATGATGATGAAGGTCATGTTGATGAAGATTGTTGTGTGTGTCAGTGATGAAGTGTTAAACTCACAGCACTATAAACACTCTCAGAGCACTGAAGCATCTGATCAATATGCAAACACTCCACATCATTTACCTGAAGCCAGTAGAGATACACAGTTTTGCCATTTTATTTCTTCAATATCTTTGCTAATGCATTTTTATTTTCCATTTTCAGAAACAGGCATTTGTAATTTGCTTCATGTTATTTTGGGTCAAGCTTCTCCCTCCAAACACCGTTTAATGTTTCATTCAGACTTTGATGCTGAGAGCATTTTGCAAACAAAATCAGTTTGACAATAATTTAATTAATTTAGAAAATATCTAATTGTTATAATTTTTTACAGTATATTATGTTTGCTTCAGAAAACCAATTTAAATAAGATGTACATAATACATTCAATGGTGGTAAACATTTATTTAAAAGAGATTTAATGTAGGATAGTGTCTATGTGGCATATGAATGAAAGCAGTGAGGTGAAATTACAGTAACGATAAAATGATTGTGATTTTTACTGCATTATCATGTCTGAAACTATGATCTACAGTCAGAATGCTAAGAGAGCTGGAGTGTGAGTTTGTGTTGTGTGTTTCAGCTGGTCCCGCAGTGAAGCCCTCCGTGTCTCTGCTGCCTCCCTCTTCTCTGCAGATCTCTGGAGACTCAGCCGCACTGCTCTGCCTGCTCAGCTCTTACTCTCCACAGGGGGCGCAGGTGAGCTGGACGCTGGACGGGTCAGAGGTCACCGAGGGGGTTCAGACCAGCGCTTTTCAACGAAATTAAAACGCCAGTAGTGAGCGTTTAATGAGTGAGTAATTGAGTTGTTCATTCAAACGTTTCGTTCAAACGGCAGATTCATCAATTGTTTATGCATGGGCTGATGAAACTTTGACTCAACCGATTCGTTCAAAACACGGAATCATTCAGCAATGAATCGGCTGGTTGCTGTTAGATGCGCTGTGTTTCCGCCTAAAAGTAAGTGACCTAATATTATTGTATTTGCTTTTTGAACTGTTTATCGAACGATTAAACAGTCGTAATGGTGAAAACATTGTGTGATGTTGCCTAACTAACTGTATTTTAAATATAAAAACTTTCCATTTTGAATTTTGTTACTTGTCTGGCGTTAATGAAGCGTTAATGTCGAGCCCTGGAGACGGCTCTATGTGCCGGGGCTCAGCCCCAGACGGCCCCGGCCCAATTTAAACCCTGTATACGAGTGTAGGTTAATGAACAAAATTTAAAACAACAAAACAACATGTGGCACCATTGTCTATTTGATCAGCTTACACCCTGTGTTTTCTCTGATTCTGAACATAACTGAGTCAAACCCGTCTGTCACAGGACAGATCACTGTAATAGAGCTGATTTCACTCAGAACTCAGTTTTGAGCTCATGTGTAGTTCTGTGTGTCAGTAGTGAGTGAGTGTTTGAGCAGCTGCAGCATCAGTTCATCACTGTGACTCTGACTGACAGAGGTTTTTGTACGACTCTTTATCACTTTCAAAGCATATACCCCCTCATGACTGAACACATCTGTGCTGGTTCTACAGTTGATTTTGACTGTTTCTTCTGGTTGAGCTGCTGTCGTTGAGGGACTCTGAGTGACGCTGATCTGTCCTCTACTCTCTGAAACACACAACAAGAAGAAAATCAACTCAAAACTTTGACAATATACTTGAAGAAATGAATTCATATCAAACTTGTGCTCCACAAATCTTGAGCAAACACTGTGAGAGTCCAGATGAAGATGATGATGAAGGTCATGTTGATGAAGATTGTTGTGTGTGTCAGTGATGAAGTGTTAAACTCACAGCACTATAAACACTCTCAGAGCACTGAAGCATCTGATCAATATGCAAACACACTCCACATCATTTACCTGAAGACAGCAGATACATTTTGCCATTTTATTTGTTCAGTATCTTTGCTAATAAATTTCCATTTAATGTTTTTAGAAACAGACATTTATAATTTGCTTCATGTTATTTTGGGTCAAGCTTCTCCCTCCAAACACCGTTTAATGTTTCATTCAGACTTTGATGCTGAGAGCATTTAATATATGTTGTGCAGATTTGATATCATCCATGATACTGTATAACAGGTCAAAGGTCATCTAATAGAGAATGACCATCTAAATCTGGCTAAAGATTTCATTATAAAGCAAGTAGAATTAGCAGAGTTTAAAATCACATGTGTACCGAAAATGCAATGAATGTATTTAGTTATACAGTGTACAGGATCTTATGCTTGACACACTGTAATAAATAAATAAATATGTAAAATTTACAGTAAAAATGGCAGCTGTGTTTGCCAGACTTGTTCCTTTTTTACTTCCAAAAACTTTAACAGTATTTTACTGTAAAATTACAGAACCATCATGTTAGATTTATTATAGTTTTTCCATCGTATATAGTAGAGAACTTACTGTTAACCAATTAACAAGTTTTTACTGTAGCACTTTTACAGTCTTTTACCATTAAAATTACGATCATTTTTTACAGTCTCCATTTTATAAGAGTAAATAATAATTTAGCTAATGAAGAATATTTTCAAACATAACTCCGGATGTTTGTGGAACATGAATGAAAGCAGAGATGTGGAATTACAGTAAAATGATGAAGTGATTGTGATTTTGGCTGCATTATCACGTCTGCTCCAGTGAAGATTGTAGCTCGTCCTCATTTGGAAGGCCAAACAAAGTAGTTTCGCTTTCAAAAGGAAACACAGCGCCTTCACGACATGGCGGCAGCAGTAACAACAATACTACAGCGAGAATAAAAGTTACACCTTCTTTGCGTGAACATTTGGGCGGCGTTATGCAAATCTTCCCACATCGTGACGTAGACATGTGGGGGCGTGTTAGAACGAGCCGTTTTAGGTAGGCGTGGTTGACTCTTAACTTTTATAAAGAATATCTCTTTGGATTTGAGACTTTAGTCTGTGCAACTTTACAGATCTTCTTTATGTTCTTTGTGCATTTTTCTTTTTTTGTACTTGTTACTTTGCACTTTTTGTTAGAAAATGTTTATTTACTGTTATTCAAGTTTAAGGTATCTAATATTTTGATACTTAATTTCCATGATCTAAATATTCTTAAAAATTAAGTTTGTTGTCATTTGGAAGTGTGTGTATGCCGCCTTGCATTATTATGCGGTTACATTATGATTATATATTCAGTGGCATAAAATGGACTTTAAAATGACAATAATATCGCTTATCGCAATTACTTCTGAGGCAATATATCGCACAACAAAAAGTTGTTATCGTGACAGGCCTACTGACAACCCTTTTTAGAGAGCGTGTGTGGATCTCGCAGATCACAGCGATAACCGCGAGGTGAGAAACTGTGCCGCGGCAACGGCAGAACCGGGCCATGAGACA